CCCTAAAGAGTTTTTTGTTTTGTGTGTTGCGTTTACTTGAGGTTTATTCGTCTTGTACAAAAATTATATTAATTATTTTTCTAATTGAAATTTAGCCATAAATTATGGTCACAGGCGCACATACATCACAAACGTTTTTCCATATATTTTTCCTTCTTGGTTAGGGATTTTCTACTCTTATGTTTTGAGAATAATCTTTGGGGTTAATTGCTATCTGAAATAATCTGTGGTTAGTTGCTACTTGTTACTGACTTACTGTATTATAAAAGTAAATGGTTTGAAACAAAATTCAAAATAATTATAGAACAATTTCAAATAATTTGAAACAAAAGCTTAATATGTAAAATCGTCATTTCTCTCATCTCTGAAGCAAATGCTTGACCATTCATCAAGATCAACCACAATGATGGTCAGGTCTATAGAGTTTATCACGAAATGAGAGTGTCCATCGAATTCTCTTTTTAAAACAGCTCATAGTCTATATCAAACTTGAAATTCTAAATGGTGAAAGGGCTCGGTATTCCCGCAGTTTTCGTGAAACAAAAAACCAAAACCACAATAACAAAACCATAATGTTCTAGAACGCGGTCATGTGATATTTTCGTATTGCATAGTGCATACTGTATAGATGAAGAGAGAAGTGAAGTAGATTATTTTAGGTGAATTAGTTTTACATTTTTGTATAATTTAGAGAATATTTGTAAAAATATTACAATTTTTTTTGTGTATTTTGAAAACTAACCCATGTTTCTAAAAATTTGAAAACTAACTTTATTGGCAATTAAGATTATCAGATATATAAAGTTTTTTTAAAAATCAAGTTGTGTTATCATTGGGTAATTAACTCTACTATAAAATAATTTACGAAATTAAAAATATCATTTCACGAGATTAGCTAGAATAACCTACTTTTTTTTTAAATAGTTAGAATAACCTTACTATTTTTTTATTGCTGAATAACCTATTCTATATTTTTTTTCTTTCATAATACCAAAATTGTCCTTCGCAGGCTCTGCCGAGATATTGGCAGACTTTGCCGAAACATTGGCAGACTATACCGATGTATCGGTAGACTCTGCCAATATCTAAAAATACGCAGACTCTGCCAAAACATTGGCAGACTCCGTCGAAACAATGGCAGACTCTGCCGAAACATTGACAGACTCTGCCGAGGCATTGGCAGACTCTGCCGAATCATTGACAGACTCTGTCGAATCATTGGCAGACTCTGCGGAAATATTGGTAGACTCTACCGATGTATTGGCAGACTCTGCCAATATCTAAAAATACGCAGACTCTGCCAAAACATTGGCAGACTCTGCCGAACATTGGCAGACTCTGCCGAAACATTGGTAGACTCTACCGATGTATTGGCAGACTCTGCCAATATTTAGAAATACGCAGACTCTGCCAAAACATTGGTAGAGTCTACCAATGTTTGGCAGAGTCTGCCAATGTTTCGGCAGAGTCAGCCAAGGACAATTTTGATATTATGAAAGAAAAAAAATCCAGAATAGGTTATTTCAGCAATAAAAAAAATAGTAAGGTTATTCTAGCTATTTTTAAAAAAAAATTAGGTTATTCTAGGTAAATTTTTCAAATAAAAAATTTAGATTATACATAAAATATACAATCATAAAAAATTATATATATATGACAGAACTAAGAATGGTGAATTGCATAAAATTTGTAGTTTGCGTTCAAGTTATATAATGTTTAGTTCATTTGATTTAGTTTCTCATAAATAGTTGATTATAGAAAAATTAAGTTGGCAATTTTTTTTGCCTACCAAAGTTCTTATATTTTGCACTATAATAATTGATTGAAAGATTGATTTTAACGATCTAGTATAAGAGATTTTCTTATATTATTTACATGTGTTGAAAGGGATTTATACATTACTATCTCAAGTTGTACATTACTACCTCAATTTGAGGTATAACATTGTTAGATTTTGCTATAAAATTATAGTATTTTACAGGTTTGACTGAAATTCGATTTTCGGTTTATATTATATTTTAATCGTTTGCAGTTAATTAAAAAAATAACAAAAAATTGCTATTTAGTTGGTGAGTTTGACTACACTTAGAGTAGTAATTGTCTACAATCTATCCAATTTTGTTTGGAAATATACTTTTTGTAATTATAAATTATCAAATTTTATAGAGATATTATTGTCTTTTACTTTAAAAAAGTTAGTTTTCAAAATCTTGAAAACATGGATTAGTTTTCAAATTACATATTTTTTTTGGATTATCAAACCAAACCTCTCTTTAATTGGTAAAATATTCTCTTATATTCATAATAATAATAAAAAAAAAAAATCGGAATCAGTTCATATAATATGCTCGTTAGTGAAGTTGAATATAAACATTTAACTTGTAAGACCATTTCCGATGGAAATCACTATGTCCTAATATGTGCTCATTAGGCAGTTTGTTTATGAGCATTAGTTTAATTTTACTTGTAAGACCATTTCTATAAGTTTAGAACATTAAATAATTTCTGTATTCAAATGCATCAAGATACAAATTTTGGGTTGTAGTATATCTTATCCATCCTTTAACTGTCAGTTGGACCAAATTAATATGACACTAAAATTATCATAAGCTACGATATTAATTAGTACTACGATTTGGATGCAATGCAACAACAGCGATCCAACAGAAACTTGAAATCAAATACGGTTCTGAGTTACCTTTGGCGGAATGACCACGAATATTATTAACTGTCGATCGATGTTGTCCCCAAAAACGTTGGTAAAGGCACATAATAAACAAGAAAATTTTGAATAATATTTAACGCCAACTATGACACCATCCAATGCAATTTCAATTACAAGGAACCAGATTATAACGACATTATGAGTTCAGTCTGGATTAATCAATATACATATGCAATATATTACACAAAAGTCAACGAGTTTGCCCTATAAATGATCTCTATGCTTTCAAATAGTTTCCTACAACTACAAGCTCATCAATAATCTCTTTTGAAAGAAGAAAAAGAGGCAAACACAAAACAAAAAGCAAAGAAAAATGGCAAAGCTCAACATCAACTTCCTCAGCTTCCCTGCTCTCATGATGATCGTCTTGTTGGTTTCTAATGGTAATTTTAAAGTTTCTCCTCTGCCCTAATTAATTTATTAATATCGATTTGGATGACTAAAGATTAGATAGGTATGAATGGTTTAAACAGGATTACCAAAGGCGGAAGCGCAAACATGCTTTAAAGGCGAAGCTCAGGAGGGTGTGTGTGTTCAAGTTGACGGCGGAGCACTGTGTAACGTTGCTTGCAAGGTACTCAATACAACTTGGTCTGGTTTATGTGAAGAAGAAGACAACGAGTTACACTGTCACTGCTACGGACCTTGTTAACCAGACGTAAAACCAAATATGAAAAGTGAATAATTGTGCATCCGTACCAATATGCGCAGCTTTACTGGTTATGATCAATGTCACGTACCTACATGTGTGTGTATTTCCTTACAACTGTGTGTTTTCTGGCTTTTAATAAATTTGTATTAGCAACGTAAAATGTGGCTGATGTGCTCAATCAATGTAAGATTGAATATGTATATTATCTTTGCCTTTGGTGTGTTTCAATTAA